ACTTCTTAACAGCAAAGCATGGTAAATAAGCATTCAGGGATAATCAGTTCATACGAGACCCCGAGGCAGCCTCCTCACCTGCGAGTACTTCTCGTAGAGGCGTTGGACGTTGTTGAGGACGAGCCTCCGGGGGCTCTTGTGCCTCCGAGGTTGCTCCTCCTCGCCGCCCGCCGTAGCGCCGCCCTCGACCTCCTCCTCGCCCTCCTCGCCCGCGTCGCGCCCCATCCCGCCTCGCGCCGCCCCCGACTTCTTGGCGCCCTCGTCGTCGTCGTCAGAGTCGTAGTCGAGCGGCGGCTCGGGCTCTCGCAGAGCGCTCAGCCTGGGTGCGGTGGACGACGCGGGATAGAAGGCGAGAAGAGAGGGAAGGAAGGAGGAGAGAACGAGTACGAGGCGTGGAGGAGACGAGCAGGGGATCCGAGGACAAAAAGAGAATGAAAACACCAGGGTAATCAGAAACTATAAAAAAAATGAGAAAAGCTTCAAATGCGAATTATCATCATAAAGAAAAAAACAATGTTACAGGAGATTAATTATTTGTAGGTAGAAGATACGTGGAATATACAGAAATAAGGGCCTCAAGTGGAAAGAACTCACCTGGAGAAATTATGCGCGAGGGACGACAGGTAGGCAGTGCGGTCGCTTTTGCCCAGGCGTTCACACAGCGGCAAGTACAGCTTTATGGAAAATGAGATGATTATATAAACTAGGAAGATCTCAGAGGACACTGTTATTTTTAGTTTATTTACTCTTAGTCTGCACAATAACTTCTTCTAGTTCTAATCCAGAAGCCTATTTATTTTACCCGTCATTATCACATTTTTTTTTCTTAATTAATCATCATCAATCCCAAACTATACATATAATCTACTCTCAATTTACCTTTATAGTAAACTAATAATCCATTCACATTCACCCTTAATACAATCCCATTTACCTTTAGAAATATTCATATTCTACCCTTGTTAAACCTAAAATATAGATACTCACAATCTATTGTCACTTGCTCTCAGATATATCACTCATAATCTACCTTGATTTTTATTGTAAAACATACGCATAATTTAACCTCACTTAATCTAAAAATATATTCATATACTTATAATCTATCATCGTTTACCCCAATATATATATATACGTATAATGTACCATCATTTACCCTAAAATGCGTTCATGACCTGCCCTCATTTATAATAAATTCCTCTTCAGTATCCCATAGTAACTCTGCACGAAACTCCACTATAACCAATCTCAGAAACGAGTAACTGGCAACTCACCCAAAATTCTGGAGGACTCCGATTCGCCAATTCTCTTTTTTCATGATAATCAGCTTTCATTAAACACTTACCTTACATATTTTGTATAAAAGAAATAGATGTACAATATTTTAGTGTTTTTTTTTCATTATCTTTGTTGAAATATACTGCCTTCAGCACCACTATATTATTCTATTCCAAAGTCGGGTGAGTTGTCAGTTTTTCTCTTTCCAGAAACGGGATGGAGTATAAACAATGGGTTCTTGTCGTATGGACAACCTGTAAGTGCATTTCATCTCAATTCTTAGTTAGTTAAAATCAATTCTGGTGATATTGATAAAAATAAGAAATATTATTGATAATGATGATGATAAAGCAGTAGTGATAATAATAATAATGATAGCACTAATAATTGCAGCAGCAATATGAGCAAAAACAAAAGCATAATTACAAGAGCAACGACAATAATAATAGTGATATAATAACAATAATAATAACAGTAATGATAGTAATAATAATAATGAAAATCATAATAATAATTGTAATAATAATGAAAATAATGATAATGATAATGATGATGATAATGATAAGGATAATGATGATGGTGATAATGACAAGATAAGAAATAATAATGATAATTATGATAACAATAATGGCAATAACAACAATAACAAGGAAACAACAACACCATGATAATAATGATGATGGCGATAATAATAATAATAATAATAATAATAATAATAATAACAATAAAAGGAAGAAATAATAACAAAAGGAAAAAATAATATCAATGGTAATAATAATGATGATGATAATAATAACAACAATGACAATGATAACAATGATAATGAAAAAAATGATAATAGTGAAAATATATAAGATTGATATTAATAATGAATAATAACAATGTTGATAATTCTATTATAATAATTATCATTATGATTACTATTATTACTTTCAGCATGATCATCCTTATTGTTCATATTATTGTCGCGGTCATTATCAATGTTATTAGCGCCTTATTGTTGCCTTGTTATTGTTATTTTTGCCTTGGTGGTTTTTATTATCATTGTTATCAGCGCCATTACTACACCCTTATCTCCACAGTGCTAAGAATCAGCCTGACCTGATGGAACATGGAGTGCAGTCCCTTGTGCGTGTCGCGGGGGATGTACGTGAGGTGTACGTGGTACGGCATGTGGTCGACGGCTTCGTTGTTGTCGCTCATGTAGGGCACGAGGCCGTCC